ACCACATCCCGTCACATCCCTTTCTCACTCGAGCCCTCGGCCCCGTACCCTTGATCACCGCCAGAAGCTGAGTCAGGGACTCCTCTGACTCCGTTCTGGGCAAGGTAGAAGGGGTTCAGGGGAGGCAGCTGCTCAGGCAGAGGCTGAAAAGCTAGCTGAAGAACTGAGTGCCCCTTATACGGTTGTCGTCCTGGTGGTTGTTGTAGTTGTTGTTGGCGGTTGTGGGCGCCGTGATAGCGTGGAGGGGAGGGCATGTTGGCGAGGGTGGCGTGGCAGTGCCGTCATCGTGTGCTACACTTGGTTAAGATTCCTCTAAATTATGAAGTCTCTGTACTGACTTAAATGATGCGACACCAGGTACTTGCAGTTTCGACCATCTTCAGCGCTGCAGCTGGCCTACCGGATGCAGATGTAATGCCCGTTGAATGGTGATATTAACCTTGGGCCCTTAAAGTAAGGGGTAGTTAGGGTTACACTGTTTGTCTTTGCAAGAAATCGCATCTCACTGGGCAACCAACGCCATTGAATATTTTATGGTTTAGGGTTCCAGTTGCAAAAGGGTTGTCGTTCGTTTAGGGCTACGGCGCAGAAGAAGCCTTAAACTGCAAGAAGAGATTATGCCCCTGATAGGATTCGGTTTGTACCCGTGCGATGTTTGGAGGATACCATGGGTCCCAAAGCTTCCAAACAAATTAGCGGCCCCACGATCTCCGCGAGATTACCATGCTGGCCTAATATGCTCTCAAACCAACGGATTCTTGGCAGGCGCAGTTAGTGGTGCAACTCAGCTGCTTGCCGGTATGGGTTCAACCTAACCGTCGTGATTTTTTGAGAGCGGTTTGTTCCCGGCACCGACCTCCTTGAACTCGGCTCCTGGCATGTTTACTTGTGGGCTTCTCGCAGCGGAAGGAGCCGCTCAGAACATCTCAATCTCGTGCACAGGTGTGAGTTGCCGGACTGCTCAAATTGACAAATAAGTGACAAATAACTTGGGACTCCACTTGGGACATGGCAGCCGTCAGGGGCAACACGCGAAATTGAATGCAAGCCACAGCCTGAGCACAAATCATTTCGGAGGCCTTCTGGTCTTCACGCTGCAGGGCCGCGTCAGCGCAACGTGCCTCGGGCTCCCCTCGAAAGTTTGCTGGTGGTTCATGTTTACCGAATGGTGGCGGTTTTCTGTGAACCAGATGCCGCATAGATTATACGGACAACTATGCCTGATGCCGACACTGGCGGCAGTGTCACTCTTCCGATCTTGATATTGACATGGAATTGGCCGCATTGGATTGACAACCACTCCAAACCCGGAGTAAGAAGTATTTCCACGTGGCACCACGTTTTGCCCTGAACCCGAAGCCCAGGACTACGCAGATAGCCAGCCTGTGCTACAAGCTGGCGACCACTGCCTTGTCGCTGGTGCTATTCCCCGAGGCATGGTAGGACATGCTAAATGCCGCGGGTCCCAAGCGTCTGGGCATAGCAGACTCATATATGCATAGGTTTAGTGATCAAGAAGACGTGAACCTTGCTGGCTGAAGCCTTTTGAGGCTTAGGGGCTTGCCATTTCGGACAACATGAGCAGCTGAATACGCGACGACCATTTGGCTATAGGGATTTTGTAGGAAGATCAAATTCACATATTCTTCCCATTAAAGATTGAGAGCCAGCCATTCCCTGCAGCCTGAAGGCGCAGAGAGATCTCGGCCTGTTGGCCCTGATGGGCTACGGCCTCTCGACGGTCAGCGTCGCGCTCTACGCGTGTCTGGGCGGTCGGAAAGCGTACACGGCGTGGTTGAGGGTTTAACGGAGACGTAGATGTATATATACATATATATATATATACACATATAATATATCTCTCTCTCTCTATTTATGTCTTTACATGTGTTTATCTTGTGCTTGTGTGCTCTGTGGACAACTTGCCCACCACACTCACCACACAGCGCCGCATCGTAAGCGTCGCAAAATCTAGAGCTCCCGGTGTGTGGCGAACTTTGCATGTTGGAACCCACGCCCCTACATCGAAACCATGACCCGGAACTCCTACAACCTAGGCTCCTAGACGCACCAAAACTCCAGGTGATACGATCTGCCCACGAAGCCAAAAACCTTGAACCCGAGCGCGAATGTCCTTAAATGTAGCACCCAATTACGGAACAGTTTCAGACCACTGAAGTATCCACCACAATCTTATCCACATCTAAGGTTCTGGCCGAAATCGGATCCTGTGGTGAAGAAGGCTGAGAAGCCGTAGCAGATCAAACTTGCTTCTTATTCCGTTGAGGCTGTTCCTATGTACCTGTTCCCTTAACCCTAAGCCCTGCACCGTGCGAGAGGGCAAAGAAAGCCCTGCACCGTAACCCTTGAAACCTGCCTGTGAACCCGAGACCCTCGAACCCAGTCCCGCAACCTTGAACCCTTCTACTCCAAGATTTTCAACTCCCAAGACCTCTACAAGATCTTCTGTAGCCAAGAAGATCACAGAAGGTCTCCCAGACGTAGACAATCCCTTTCTTGGAACCGCCATAGGTCGCAGGGTAAATCGGGAGCTGGTCCGCTCAGTGTGGCCGTTTCGATTTCACCCTGCTGCGTTGCTTTTCTCTCCAAAGCAAAACAAGAGGAGGTTTGCCATTTCGGGTTCTAGGGCTTCGGTTCATGGCTTCGAGAGCGTAGTCAATTAGTTTCGGAGTACTATAGGGTTGGCTCGTAGGGTCAGGGCAATCGTGTCGATATGCTGTTGTACACGGGGACGTCGCACGTAATATCGGACTGCATGCAAGCTCCCTAACCTATCCGGTTGCAAGGAGCCTTGAACGCAATGCAAAGTTGGAACACACCCCTATTAACCTCGACTCGCGAAGCAGACGATCTAAACAGGCCATTGCGCACCCTGGCAGACCCGAAGCAACCCTAGGTTCCCTGGGCCTGTAGAAACCGAGATTCCCTCGACGCTTGCAAGCACCCGGAATAGCGATGCCACTCGAATCCTCGTACCGTGACACGCTGTGGAAGTAACATTAGCCCTGGATGCCATAGAATGCTGAGAGCAGAACTCTTGTGTTGGGGGAGGTTGGCGTACATAGGGCTTTTAAGGCTTCATGAGGTTTTGAGATTTGTGGGGTTTATATACTATTGCTACAGCTCGTAACCTACTACACACTAATAGGAGTCTAGAGTATTGCCGTTCTGTACTGCTTTCTAAAACGTTGCATCCTCGGAATTTAGCTATTCCTATCCTATCCCTCAAACCCCAAACCATTTAACACTTGATGCGTGCATTTGGCCCGCTTTTCTCGGCAGATCTCGGAAGGCAAAGGCCTAGGGTGATGCAGAACAGAATAAACGAGAGACAAAACTGCTAACAGCTAACAAAAGAAAAGCCGAAGGGTGGGAGCAATGCCTTTAACTGCTTGAGGTGTAAGAGTATTTCAGCTGAAGTCATTACACATGTGCCCGCAAGGCTTTGTCGTAGTTCATAATCCAAAATCAGAAGCACTTTCACTTCGAGCGATCGAGCTTTAGATGTATTGGGTTCCGGCCCATGATCCTCGGCACCCTTCAATGGACATAATTTGTCGTAGTCTCTTGAAAGATTCAACCGCGTGCTTCCCCAAACAGAAAATACCGCATCGAATATTTCAACGCTAGCCAAAGAGTAGCTATCCCCGTGAAGGGTTCGATCCTGGGCCTGCTTGGATGTGCACAAACCGGTCTTCGATCTACGGCTTCGGGGGAAGCACGCCAAGATTTCGAAGAATTCCTCCCTCGAACAATAAGGTCAAACTAACGAATCAAGCATGACTGCCCAAGGCCTCAGGGCTACCCGCGGTCACTTGCCGCCTTGAGCTTGGCGCTCAGAGGGCGAAGAAAACCGAGGCTTGCTACGGAGCCAGATGAGTCGCAGCGCACCTTCAGGATGGCAGTCTAGATCAACAAGCAACTGCAGGATCCGCCCTAAATGGACCTTTACTTTTGAGAAACCTTCGCATTGGGCTGGCTTGAGGCGAGGCTACAGGAGGCCGACAATTTGCGGCCTTCTACCAGCCAGAAAGCCTGGTGCTGAGGAAATTAGCTAAGTGCTGAAAGCTACAGGGTTTCATACTTGGGTTTGTGGGTGGGAGCTGGGCTCTCGTAACATGTGTGTCGTTCGTTTTCCCAGACTGCATGAAGTCATAAAGTGCTTCAAGACTTCGCGAATTAACGGTATCTATCAGGCAGAATAGTGGCCACAACAACAGCAATCGAAAGCTTGTGGTGGAGACTGATCGAAGCCTTTGTCCCCCTTGCTTTGTAGATTTCGCCACATGTGCGGGCCATGCGTCACACCGAAAAGGAAGATCTGAAGGTCTTTGCAGTCGAAACTCTGCGCTTAATTCTGTTCTCTTCAAGACCATGTCATGAAGCTTTAAACTCCTGAGTGCACTTGGAATGCCGCCAGTTTGCAGAGTTGGGCTCAGCAGATTTTTTGGACCGGCCCCTCTTGCTCGACGCCTGTTCCGAACATGGCCCGCCTTCTCTCAGTGCCCGGGACTTTCTGAGAGGAGGAACAGACTATGAAAACCTTATGTTCTTGTCACTGCTACAGCATTAAAGCCCTTATGACAATATGACAATATGTTAAACATATAATCCATATATAGTTAGCGTGTGCTCGAACGAGACCCCGAAACTTCTGACATCAGTCCGGAAACGAGGTCAGGGTCCGCGATAAGGATACGCGTCCTTTCGCCCAAAACTAAACGAACTTCGTCACTCATAATATGCACTATCAATATACTACATGTTAAATGTATTCTGTAGTATAAGATGTATGACATGACTTGCTTGCTCAGCTGCTTGCAGATCTTGGATCCATTAGTTCAACCTCGTTCCGAAACCCAGGAAGCACCCAAGTATCGCGACAGTTTCTGTTCACGTGGGCTTAGGTCCAGATTTGGGTCTGAAGTGCTAAGAGCAGCCGAGGTGTGCCTTTTGGCAGTCGCCTTTGGCTGCTTGGATCAACTAAGTAAGCACTAAACATGCTGGGAAAATCCTTTTTCCCCAATATGTTTAGTGCTCTTCGAGAAGGGGCAGGCTAGTAGCCTCAGCCATCTCGTGGGGAGCAGAGCCACATCTGTCAGAAGCTGCAATTCATTTGTCTGCTCCATGCTTCTATTATAGTATGTTATATCATACTAAGTTTTACTTTATCATATAACAGCATATAGTCTGTTATATCATATTGCATGGGTGCACAGTCGAGATCTCTCCAAGCCCAGCCCGAAGCCCTAAACGAGGCCCCTGGACAGTGGAATCTCGTGTTGAAAACGCCTTAGGGCCCGAAGCTCTGGGCCCCAAGACATCTCACATAAGTTTTCATAAACACTAGGCACTGTAGGAGGCTTTCACAGAGGTCACCCTAAATCCCAAACCCTAAAGTTCTCATAACCACATGTCTCGCCTGGATTGTATGAGTGTGAGCGCCGACATCCCCAAAGTTACCCAAGGCTGTCTCATGGCCCCGGCGTTCGTGCCCACTGCCCCGCGCAGCGACCGTCTCGCAGCGGCTGCGGGCGCAGCAACCCTCGCGACTCCCGGGCCAGGGAGTTGTATATGTGTATTTATGTGTATATATATATATATATATATATACAAACTCACAAAGTCAGTACGATACAATATAACATGTCAGCTTCTCCGTCTTTGAAACTAAAGAGGTGGAGTGGCTGCGACGGTTTGCTGACATGCAGTAGTCACGTTAGCCGCCGATTCCCAGCTGATGATGGCATAGAGCCTGGGTTCAAACGAATAAAACATAGCATACCAAACTACACTATATCATACAATCATATAAGGGTTGCTGGAAGGGTTGAATCATGGGTTGATTGGAATATGGATTTGAGGGTGTGATGCATAGGTAGATAGTTAGATAGATAGATGGGCAGATAGATAGCTAGCTAGATAGATGCATACTTTCATAGCATTGATAGCTACAGAGATAGATCGATAGACTTTTGGGGTAGTACAATAACCTCTCAATTAATCCAGAAAGCGTAACCTTTAGCTCACTTAGCAAGCTGGACACGTAGGCTTTTGTTTTGGCCCATGTGTTCGTTCATGAACTCTGAGCAGGAGTCCGTGTCACCCAGGCCCCCAGCTGCACCGCAAAAAGCATTGCGGTCAAGATATTGCTATATATTGCTATATGCATCATTACACATTTTGATGTGCTTTTCCTTATGTTCTGCTATCATGTCGTGGAGGGCTTTTCGGATTAAACAAGATTTCTGGTTTGGGAGATGAAAAACAGGCCCCGTGTGCCTCACAGCCCTTCGTGTGTCTTCTCAGTCTCATGCTACAGCCCTGAATGCTCACACCCAAAGACCCCAAACTGAAAACTCTAAACCCAGCGAGCCGAAACTGAGAATCCTGCACCCCCTGAACCCTGAACATCGGCTTATCACGCGTTCGTTTCAACTCAAAGAAGGATGCGGAGACTAAATCCCGGACGTCCCGGCCTCTCCATGGAGGGTATATGGGCCGTAGCCCGAAGATAGGGGCCTAATACCTTTTGGCCTAAATAATTACCCATACTGTTTTTGGGTTTCCTCAATAAATTCAATAATTACCCATACTATTTTTGGGTTTCCTCTGAATAGTCATAGTATAATGGAGCGCAAAACCCTATTCTAAGTGTGAAGGCCCCTATGCTACGTTTTCCTCACGTTGGGCTCCTGTTAGTGTTGGTGTTGTCTGGAGGAGAGCTGCAAGTGGCCATGAGTTCTAAAGAGTACCTTCTTCTTGCAGTGCAGCATGTTCTTCAGAGAGTTTCACCTCAACTGCTCAATCACCAAGAGCCTCGCCTGTATTGTGCGAGGGTGAGCCCCGAAAAGCTGAACATAGCGCGATCTAGAAACCTTATCTCAGGACAATCCCAGCCGGGGCTGAGGCCTTCGTCTACAAGGGCCGCCCGGCTTGGAGTTGGCGATTTGAAATTGCTTTTGTCGACACAACTGCGCCCGGATCTCTCGGCCATCTGTGATGGGCTTAATCAGAGAGTAATGGCCCCTCTCTTCTGAGGGTTTTTTTCTCGGATTCTTTCGGTGTCTTGTGCCATGACCCTGAAAGAGGTAAGAAGAGGGCTTTCCCATGAAGGCACCCTCTAGCACCCGAGAGAGCAAGGCAAGGAGTACTTCGATGTCTTCTATGGCATCGAGCCGTTGGCCTGGGCTTTCTGCGGCTTCTGCATCGTCTACTACGGCGCGGTGCTCAAGAACGCAGCCCAGAAGTGTCTCGGAATGCGGGCTTGGGGTATCGCTTTATGAGCCGGAGCGCCACCGAAACAGCCACATTATGCAACTTTTTTCCATAGAGGCTGCCCAAGTGCATCCAAGTGCAAGGGGTTCAGCCGAGGTACAACATCCCGCCTGCCCCGGCGCCACCGAAGGTCGGCGGCTTCGTTGGAAAGGAGGTCGAGAACTCGGAGCCCAGCTACATGGACTCGTCCATCAAGCAGGGCCCCTATTGAGAGATCCTGGCATAGCTTCCCATCCGTGACAGTCCGGTGTTGGCCCGAGGCTTAGAATCTAAGCCTTGAGATGGCCATGCAAAGATGGGAGCTAAGGAGCACCCCTATGCCCTAAACCCTAATTTACATATACAGCTTCAGCCCATCCCGAAATTAAAAAGTCCCAGCGGAAAGTGTGTCCTGGTTATGTAGGCAGAGGGGCCCAACCGGATCCGCTTGCAGCATCCGGAAGAAAGAGCTCCGGCCTCGAGGGCTGTGCTGGACAGCTCGTAGCATTCGAGCTACTCCGGGCAGAAGAGAGAGTAATTAAGCTTTGGATTTTTTGGGGGTGGTTGCTAGAATCCCTAGATGTGCATTACCGTGAAACCCTCTATTCTGATCCGGGACGAGGAGAGGGAAAAGATCCTTGTTCCTCGTCCCGGAGATTTGTTAACATGTAATACGACAAAAACTACTGCTCCGCCTCCTCTACCCGCAACCATACACCCTAAACCCCAAACAATGTGGTGTTTTCCTCATCAGAATGAGCCTTCTTTTTTCGAAACATATAACAGGCTCTGGCAAGCTCCAATGCCCACATTATCCCAAAGCTTAGCCTTGAGCTCCCCTAAGAGACTGGACCAGTATTTTTTCGGCTTCGAAGTTGCCAACGGGGGGGTTCAGGCAAAAGGTTTATGGTAAGGGCGAGCTCCAATCAAGCAAAATCACGGTTACACCAATTTTGAAAGCCAGCATATGCCTTGGTGCCAGGAACTGCAGAAAAGGGTTTCAACGGTTGCGAGAGAACCATGGAATGGATGAATTTCGAATTGGAGTGAAAGGGCGTTAGGTTTAGAGTTCCGGCTAGGATTTCGAGTTTAGTCAGTAGTTGAACTCGCTTGCTTGAACTTCCTAAATTTGTCTGAGCTGACCCCCGAAAGCCCAAGGTGAAAGTTCAAGAGCCTCAGAACCGAAACCTTCTAAAACCTGTGCTCGCTGCCACCTCGTGCCCAAGGGGAGCAGGCACAGTCTAGCGGCCCTACAGCTAAAGCATCTATACGTCGTTTGATTGTCATCACTGTCTTGCATGAATACAATCAATACTGTTGTCTGTTTAGGGCTGGTGTTGTATTTGCATTGCCGCGATGGCCCCAATGTACTTCACAACCCGTTGGTTGGATAGTTTTGAAAATGTGAATCTATCGTTGACCTTGTCATGCTGCCGTCGCTGCCAGTGTGCCTCATGTTGTTGCGGTTGCGACCTGTGTGCTTCATGTTAACCTTGTTAAAACCTAGACGGCGGTTGTTTCCTATCCGTATGGTTGGGTCCCTAAATACATTCTGATTTTCTGACCCTCAGTACAAGAGGTTGCTTCCTATCCGCATGGTTGGGTCCCTAAATCAGAATGCTCGCTGTGGTATGTCCGAGAGTGAGTGCTGAAATACATTCTGATTTTCTGACCCTCAGTATAAGAACCCCTGAATAAGTTAGCCGTGGCATTTGCATCAACCTCTAGACCCTAAAGCCCTTCCCTACAACCCTGACGCTCTAAACGGGGATCGATAAATTTTACACCACCAAAACCCTATGCCCCCG